CTCCCCCTGTGTAACGTAACCCTTTCCCCATGGGGCTGCAGCACTTGCCTGCCCTCCATCCCCCAGGTCCTTCCCCCTGAGGACGGTCCCCGAGGGCTGGCCTCTGTGCTCACCATGAAGGATGCTCTCTCCTGGCTCTGAGGTTGCCTCCAGATGAGCAGAGCTGCCACCACGATCCCCAGGAGAGGCAGAGCCAGAGCAGCGACGCACCAAGCACCCCCAGCCTGGAGGCAGGGCAGCCCAGCGATGCTCACACAGCTCACGGCGACGGCCAGGGCGGCTGCGGAGGGACCACGGCAGCGTGTCAGGGCAGCACTTCCCCACGCTGAGCCCGTCCCTCTCCCCGGGTGCAGCGCCCAGGCTGCCATGCTGGGAGGGACAAAGGACAACCAGGGCACCGGCCTGGGTGGCTCTTCATGGTGGGTCGAGCTTTTCTCTGCAGTCTGGGACGTGGGGGGAGCGGGAAGTGTCCCGAGGTCCCGTTGGGGCAGTCGGGAGAGGGCAGGAGGGAGCCAGGCTGCCCTGCCTGCATCCCGCTGCTGGGTGGTTTTCAGGGAGCAGGAACCTGCCAGCCCACGCTACAGCAGCAATGTCCCCACGGGTCCCCCCACACCAGCTCCCCGTAAAGCCCACCCATCGCTCCCGGGCGTACCTACGGCTGCCACAGCCCAGGCCACCACAGCGAAGGACTCTGAGGTGGGATGCACAGGCGGCCACACAACACGGTGCCACCAGATCTGCACATCCTGGTCCTGCCCTGCACCAGTGTCCTGAGTGCTGGGGGGCCGATATCTGAGGAGAAGATATTGGATGTCAAGGTCAAGGTGCACCTGCAGCGCACCAAGGCCAGTGCCTTGCCCCAGGCATGGCCAACGTCAGACGTAGGGTGAGCCCTGTCCCCAGCAGTCTCACCTGAGCAGCAGCACGCAGACAGCCACCAGCGAGTAGGTCATCAGCGTGGCAATGCACATAATGTCAATCAGGACTTTCAAGTCAAAGAGAAGGGCCAGGAGAGCTGTGGGGATGAGAAGCCCTTTCAGCCTCCAGGCAGAGCTGGCAGCGCTGCTGCTGGGCCCATCTCAGCTCTGCTCCCCACCCCGGGTCCCCCAACACCCGCTGCAACATGACTCAAGCACCTCAGTGATCGGTGATGCTTTGGTCACTAGTGCAAAGCATCCCACCACCTCCTGCCTGGCAGCTCGGAGAGGATGAACTGGTGCCTGGGACATCACCAAGGCCAAACGGTCTTCACCCACAGCAAGGAGACCTCCCTCTGGCTGGAGAAATATTGCTCAAACAGCTCCTGGCAAGCTAGGGGGTCTGTGTTCTCCTGCTGAAGGAGGGCATCCACCAAGCCCTGCTCCAGGTTAAGGGGTAGCCCAATTGCTCACCCACCTGCAATTCCTCCAGACACCAACGTTGCCACCACTGGGCACTGACGGCTATTAACTTTGGCCAGAGGTTTGAAGAAAAGTCCGTCTTGAGCCATTGAATACAGGATCCATGGTATGCGGAACAAGGAACCCAGGAGGCTGCGGAGAGGGGATGAGATGGGGGAGAAGAGGGTAGGAATCCAGGAGATGCCTTGCTGCCTTTTGCTCCTCCTTGGCTGCCAAGGGAGCTCCTGTTCATCTCTATGGTCCATGACCTTCTCAAGACCATGCTGAAAAGACCATCACCTCCCTCAACATATGATGAGGGACAGTATTGGGGAAGTGACGTCCACAGGTCACTGGGAGCCCTGTGCACACCGAGACACCCCAGTCTGCTCCTGTGGTCACGGTGTCACCAAATACCCAACCACTTCTGCCAATTTTGGGCTGTAAGTTGCATGCCAAGGGGATGATCTCCTTGATTGTGAGGGGCCAGGAGGAGAGCAATGGGGTTTGAGAATGGGCTGAGGGATTTTGGCTGAGCAGAGCAGTCAGAAGGAAGGGGTTGGGGATGTGTTATAGCTCCAGTGCAACCTTGCTCGGGGCCACAGAGCTGCCATTGGAGGACTCCCCTCACCTGCTTGTCAGGGCGCACAGTGACCCCGCAGCCACAGCACACTGTGCATTGATCCAGCCAACGTATTCAAAAGCCAGTGGAAGTGGGCTCATGGTCTCCACAAGGTAGTAGGGCATCATCAGGGTGAGGGCAGCAGACACCCCAAAGTACATGAGGAAGCAGATGAGGAGGGAGAGGATGATGCTGAGGGGGAAGGATCTCTGCGGGTCCCTCACATCTGCCCCTGGGGAGGAAAACTCAGGTGTAAAAATGGATGTTCATTAATATTCCATATCCCCCCATGAGAGGGGTCACAGAGGCCTTCTAGCAAGGACCACTGCAGCTCCTGGGCTCCAGGGCTATGGGGGTAGGGACTCCCAGGATTGCCACAGGGACTCTTACCGTTCCTGCTCTGAGCACAGAGGGCAGGAGCAAGCGGCTGCAGCACAGAGCCTGGAATGTGCCCATTCCCATCCCAGCCCTACACCAGCTCCCAGGGCGGAATGGAGAATCGCTTCCATGGCCCCACAGTCCTGCAGGGGAAGGTCCCACCGGCATCTCTCCCCACCTCACTTACCTGTGGTAATGATGTTGCTAAATCCAATAAATGCATAGAAACAGATAGAGGCGCCAGCCAAGGTCCCAGTGAAACCATAGGGCATGAAGCCTCCCACCCCAAAGGCACTGGTCACGTCGGCCACGGACTGGTTCCTGGGAGGAGGAGGAAGAAGACTCAGGCAGTGCAGAGGGGTCAGTGCAGTGGGGTCCCAGGATGGGGCCAGGCTGAACGCTCCATGCAACCTCCTCACCCCTCCGGCATCAACCCAGCAGGGCTTAGGACTTCTGCCAAAGGGGCAGGGAGAAATGGGAGAAAGCGGGATTGACTGGGATAAAGCATTCGGGGGATGACCCGGCCATCCCCATCCCCCTCTGAAGACAGCTCAGGGAGAGCAGAGCCCCTCATACCCAGTCTCGTGGGCAGCTGCCTGTGGCAGTTCATCCTCCCTGAGCTGCCAGTTGCTCAAGTCACCTTTGATGAAGCCACTCACTATGACGAAGAGCAGGACAAGCAAGTTGACAGCTGTTAGGACTTTGTTGACTGTGGTGGACTCCTTCACTCCAAAGCAAAGAATCCCTGCGGATAAAAACAGCACAACTGGCCGAGCTCCCTGGATGACACCATCCCCAGGGTAGACATTACTGGGGAGGGTGGAAACGTGGGGACAGTGGGTACAGTTAGGAAGATCTGCAGATTTCTCCAGATTCCCCCTGTATTCCCCATTCTTTGCTCAGGTAAATGTCAAAGCCTGAGAGGGATCAGGCACCATCCAGAAAAGCCCAAGCTGGGCTGAGGAGTTCATCCCACATGATGAAGGGTGGCACGGGGGGGAGGCATCCTACCTGTCAGCAGGATCACCAGGACAGCAGCAAAGACATTCAGGTATTCTGTGAGCCCCACAAAACTCGTAGATGTTTCAGCACCGAAAATCCTCCAGATCTGCCCGTTGAGGAGATGGTCAAAGTTAGAGGCTCCAGGACCATTGCAATGCTGCTGGTACCTGGGGAGAGGTGGCAGCTGGGGCAATGATGGTGGCCCCATAGGGTCTGGGAATGACACCCAGCAAAGCCAACAATGCAAAGAGAAGGTGAAGGGATCAAAAGGGCTTATACCGATGGCATAGGACAGCACCAGATTCCACCCAGAGATGAAGGCCCACAGCTCGCCCATTGTCACGTAGCTGTAGAGATAGGCGGACCTGGCCAGGGGCACGCGGGTCCCGAATTCGGCGTAGCACAGCCCGGCCAGAGCAGACACCAAGGCTGCAATCAGGAAAGAAAGGACGATGCTTGGGCCAGAGATGCTCTTAGCCACTTGCCCTGTCATGATGTAGATGCCAGCCCCCAGCAGTGCTGCCCAATCCCAAGGCGACAAGGTCCCCAGTGGAGAGGTGGCGGCGACAGCTGGAGCCCTCCAAGGTGGCTGGGACTCGCTTTTTGCGTGAAACAGTCTTCAAGCCAGAGAGCAGGCTGCCCCAGCACGGCATCTGCGGGAGAGGAAAGCAGCAGGCGTGAGGATGCTGCTGCCCCGTGGTCACTGCCCTGGGGATGTGACCCAAACCCAGCCTGAAGGTTTTCCTTTCAGCTCCCACCGCCCACACACTGCTTTCTGAACCCCGTGGGTGCTGTCCGTTTTCTGTCCCGGCTCAAAAAGCAGCGCATTTTGGAGCAAGATGGGGCTAAAGTGGCGGCGTTGCTCTCTCTTCCCAGCGAGAAGGGGAGCAAGGCATGACTGGGCTTTGCTGGGCTCTGTCTGATCCATGCTACAGTGAGAGGGGACAAGAGCACCTGCCTGGCCCCCTGCCAGTTCAGAAAGTCCTATTGCTCCAGCGGCATCCTCACTGACTGGAATCCCCACTGACCCAGCTGGAGACCCTGCCCACCGGTACATCCCAGCCCAGCAGCACCGAGGATCACAGGGCCACTCGGTCCCTGCTGCGGCGTGGCGCCCGCAGGGGACAAGGGACCTCCCTGCAGCAGTGCCAGCACCCTGGCCCGCAGCATGGGGTGCTGTAAGCCCTAATGACACAGGGAGCCCCAACCCCCAGGACAACTGCTGTGTCTCCTGGGGGCCAGAGAGCCACTGCCCGAGGCCAGGCCAGCTGGGGCTCTCTTCCCACCCCGCCGCTCCACAACACCGGTCGCACCCAGGGCATCTCACCCTCATGATTTTCCCTTCTTCAGCAAACAAACTACTTACTCTGGCCATCTTTTGGGCAAACTGTTCCAGCTGCAAGCCGACAGGGATGGCGAGCACCAGGCAGCCCCACTTACATTCTCCCCTTCAATCCCTTCTGGGAAGACCCTGGCTCTCCTCCTTATACCAAAGACTTAAGACATTTAGTCAGCAAACAAGGAACACGCCCCCTTTGCGTCAACTTTGTAAACACAAGATAAGAAGGTCTGTGCGAGTTGTGAATAACAGGCCCTGCTTGCACAGACAAGATAAACACGTCTGCGTACCAAATCGCAATCCAAACCGGGAGTTGTGAACTGAGTGAAGGTCTATACTTCAAAACGACCACCAGAGACCACCAGAGACCCTTCCTCAATTCAGTATGCTTGCACGGAGGTAGTCTCATACGCATTAGATTCCCTGGAAATGGGTGGGCACTTCTCAGAATTTAGATGAATATTTATATATTTTTATGTATAGAACGAGTGTGCTTTTGTCACTTCATGTGCATGATGTTCGGAGGAGAAATCCCCTGTGCACCCAGCGCTGCAATAAACCAATGTCAGCTTTCTAAACTGTCTTTTGGTTTGGAGAGTTTTATCGCTTATGATTTTTGGTAACACCCCCACTGACCACCACTCCAGGCTGCACAAGGGGAACTCTAGGCAGAAATATTTTTTTCCACAACACCTTCCAAATCCTACACGCAAGCCTGCAGTGCCAATAGGCTCAGAGGCATTATTGAGGGAGCCTAGTTAACGTTTCAAAGCTGCCTGTGCAGATGGAAGGGGGAAGCCCTTCCCTGTGTCCCTGCTCCTTCACACCAGCACCCTCATCTCAATCTGCGGAGCAGGTTTTGGAGGAACGGCACATCCACGGCCTGGACAAGAAGCTGCTGAACCTGGAGACCGTGGTGAGTTGAAAGGAGGGGGTGACAAGCGGGCGTTCCTCTTTCCATCTCTTCTCCCCACCTGAACCCTGTCCAGAAATTGCAGCTGACGCAGAGCTCTCTTGGAGTGGGGGGGAGATGTGGATGCGTTGTCACAACGCTCCCACCAAGCCAGCATTCCCTCCAGCATGGGGTGGCGGGGGCGGGGGGGGTTCAGCGGTCCTTTCCAGCTCCCTCCTCACCCTCGTTCCCCGCTTCCAGGCGGAGAGGAACCTTCTGCTGGAGGAGAAGGTGAAGATTCTGCAGCAGGAGAACGAGGACTTGCAAGTTCGCAGCCAGAACCACTTGGTGGTGGCGAGGTAAGCGCCGGTCCCACGCGCCCACCGGCTCCCCGGTGGCACCTCCCACGGGGGGAGCGGGACGCGCCTCATCCTGCGGTGCCAGCGGGTGCTGTGCGGGGAGCGGAGGGGGCCGCGGCTCCCTCAGCGGAGCCGTTTGCCCGCAGGCAGCTGTCGGAGGAGCTCCTGGCCGCCCGCGGGGACCTGGAGAAGGAGGCGCAGCTGCGGGAGCAGGCTCGCCGCGAGAAGGAGGAGCTGCTGTACCGCCTGCTCAACGGGGGGGACGGCTCCCCCTTCCCCACCGCTGCCGGCGAGGTGCCCCCCATCGCCACGTAGCACCCCGCCGACCGGCACCGAGCGCTGCCGGGGGGGCTGGCGGGGCTTTCCTCCGGGAGCGTGAGCCCGGGGCTGCTCTCACAAGGGCCCCCCGCTGCCGGGGCAGGACCCCGGGGCTGACCGAGCCCTCGGGGTGGCCCCGTCCCATCGGGGCGATGGAGCATTTCGCTGGACGCTCGCGCCTGCCTTTGCCCAGCCCTCGCGGGGCTGCACGGAGACCCCGGCCACCCTCCCCCTACTCCCCGTGCCAGCCCTGCACCCCTTCCCCTGCGGGGGGGGCTTTCTGGGGGTGAAAGGGGTCAGCCAGGACACACAGATGTGCATTGGGCTGGATCCGCCCCAGCGCTTGGCTCTGAGCATAACCAGCAGCAGTGCTGCCCGGGGGGGTCAGGCGAGGAAGATGAGGCGCTCACCGGGCTGGGGACGAGCATCGGGAGGATGAGGAGGGTGCCGGGGACATAGTGCTGTTAAGACACCTCATTCCCCGGGGGAGCATCCCTGGGAAGCGGGCGGCCAAGCCCAGGGCTGAGCCACAGAGACTTTGACGGGGTGGCAGCGACGGGCAGGAGGGACGGCTGCAGCGGGGTGTACCTGCCACCTCCGGCGCTGCCCTTGCTGTAGTCCATGTCCGCCTGTGCCATTTTGGGCCTTGGCCTCCTGCTCAGGCTGCCCCAAGGCGATGACACCCACTCCTGCCATTTCCAGGGTAAGCAGGCCTTCCCCTGCCCGGGAGCTGCCTCACTCCCTGGGGAGGGGGGGTCAGGCAGGGCTCCCACCCGTGCCCTCCTCTCCCCATCTTCAGCAAGCGGCTCCCGGGGATCGTTCCGGCAGCCCAGGCGTGCCCCCCCCCCCGCTGCCACCCAGATGCCAAGCACTCCTTGTAGCCGCTGCCCATCAGCAGCACCACCAGCCCCCTCTTCTCCCCCACAGCCGGGCAGAGGCTGCACACCCGAGGGGCACACGGGGGGAGCAGAGCATCCTCCCGAGGGGGAGAAGGCTTCAGGGGCAGCTGCCAGCAGGTCACAGCCCTCCCTGCTCCAAGCCAGCACAGCCCCGGCGGGGAAGATGCTGCCAGCACGGCTGCGGGTCGGGGCTGGATGCACACAGGCACTTTCCACTGGGCGCACGGGTGTGGTGGGACGGTCACTGCACTGGAGGCTGTCACTGGCCTGTCCCCTCCTTGGGGGTGTTTATCCGGGGCGGGGTGTGTGTGTGCATGTGTGTGCACCAGGCCGATGTGCCACTGGCTGTAACAACTACAAGTCTGTGAGAAGCAACAGCCTTCCTTATCGGGGAAATATCGTCTAAACACGGCAGCCAGGAAGGCAACAGGGAATCGGGGTCCGGGTCTCAGCTGATGGCCTCCATGGGGTGCCCTGAGTGGGAAATGGGGGTGCCTGTTGGGTCAGACCGGTGTCCTCCCAGGGCACTCACTGCTCCGTGCATCCCCATGGCTGCAGGGATGGGTGGTGGGGCAGCCACCCGCTTTGCAAAGCCACCTCAGGGATGTGGGGGGATGCACCAGATGCTGTAGCCATGAGCGGCGGCTGAGGGACAGGGTGGGCAAGGATACAGGAGGAAGTTGAGGGGTGGCAGAAAGTGGTTTCAAAGGAAAAAAAAATAAAATACAAACAACCCACAACCCAGTAACAGCGGCAAAACCATTTGTCTGCTTTATCCTCTCCAAACAACAGTCTTTCAGCGGGGGCTTGCCACGAGGATTCACGTTGCTCAGGGAGGTTCCCCAGACTCCAGAGAGAACAGCTCCCAGACTTGTGTGAGGGCTGTGCCCCTCCGTGGGATGGGACCTTCAGCCCCGGGGGCCTCTTTGCCCCGCAGGCACAGGCTGGAGGGAGCCGGGCACTCGGGGACCAGCCTCTCTCCTTTATTGCCCTGGAGCAGACGGGCACCGCACAGTCCCTCAGTGCCCTGGGGGCACCTCGGCCGTGCTTGTTCACAGCTCCTGGTGTTCTGCCCCTTCTGGCTGGTGGTTCTCGGTGCTGTGCCGGATCCCGTAGCCAAAGTAAATCCGGAAACCTGGGAACGGGCAGAATAGGGTATGGGGGACCCTGTCTCTTCCCTCCCCTCCCAGCCGCAAAGCTCCCACTCCTTTGGGCCACACATCAGAGGACAGGGTGCTCCCGCCACCCTTTAACGTTAAAGTTCAGCATCACTTCCACCCACCCACCACCCCTCTGCAGCCAGCAGTAATGCCCCGGGCTCTCAAACCAGCTCTGCTTCACGCAAAGAGGCTGCTGCCAGCTCTGGCACCTGGAGGGTGGCCAGGCTTACCGATGGCCATCCAGATCAGGTACCACATCCAGGTGCCCGCGAGGAGCCAGGCCATCAGGACAAAGTTGATGGTGATGCTGAGGAGCGGCAGGAAGGGCAGGCAGGGAACCTGAAGGGACCAAGCACAGGAAACAGGGTCGTGCCTTCACCCGCAGGCACTGGCTGGCCCACGGACCCAGGTTTCACAGCCAAATTTGGCTCTTTGCTGCTTTGGCTAGTTGCTGACAGGTGAGGAGAAGCCCAGCCTTGCTGCCTGGCTCGGAGACCTGAGCTGGGACTGCAGTCTGTGCTGGGGAGGGATGCTCATGGAGGATGGTTTGGTTGAACGTTCCTGCACTGGGGCAGGAGGTGCTGCAGGATTTAAGGGGGAGGAAGTAAACCACTAGCAAAACCAACCCAGGGGGTCAGGACTGGGTTTCTCTTTACCAAAGAGCAGCTCTGGTTTGTGCAGCAGGCACTGGGCTCCACTGGGGCTGCGAGACACAGGGGGAAGAAGCAGGCAGCCCTCACAGTCCCTACAGAAAACCCCGTGAGCTGCCCGGTGATGCCTCCGACAGCTCAACATGGATGCAGCAAAGCTCTGCCTGACCTGAAGCAGAGGGAACACTCCCCCTGTGTAACGTAACCCTTTCCCCATGGGGCTGCAGCACTTGCCTGCCCTCCATCCCCCAGGTCCTTCCCCCTGAGGACGGTCCCCGAGGGCTGGCCTCTGTGCTCACCATGAAGGATGCTCTCTCCTGGCTCTGAGGTTGCCTCCAGATGAGCAGAGCTGCCACCACGATCCCCAGGAGAGGCAGAGCCAGAGCAGCGACGCACCAAGCACCCCCGGCCTGGAGGCAGGGCAGCCCAGCGATGCTCACACAGCTCACGGCGACGGCCAGGGCGGCTGCGGAGGGACCACGGCAGCGTGTCAGGGCAGCGCTTCCCCACGCTGAGCCCGTCCCTCTCCCCGGGTGCAGCGCCCAGGCTGCCATGCTGGGAGGGACAAAGGACAACCAGGGCACCGGCCTGGGTGGCTCTTCATGGTGGGTCGAGCTTTTCTCTGCAGTCTGGGACGTGGGGGGAGCGGGAAGTGTCCCGAGGTCCCGTTGGGGCAGTTGGGAGAGGGCAGGAGGGAGCCAGGCTGCCCTGCCTGCATCCCGCTGCCGGGTGGTTTTCAGGGAGCAGGAACCTGCCAGCCCACGCTACAGCAGCAATGTCCCCACGGGTCCCCCCACACCAGCTCCCCGTAAAGCCCACCCATCGCTCCCGGGCGTACCTACGGCTGCCACAGCCCAGGCCACCACAGCGAAGGACTCTGAGGTGGGATGCACAGGCGGCCAGCACAACACGGTGCCACCAGATCTGCACATCCTGGTCCTGCCCTGCACCAGTGTCCTGAGTGCTGGGGGGCCGATACCTGAGGAGAAGATATTGGATGTCAAGGTCAAGGTGCACCTGCAGCGCACCAAGGCCAGTGCCTTGCCCCAGGCATGGCCAACGTCAGACTTAGGGTGAGCCCTGTCCCCAGCAGTCTCACCTGAGCAGCAGCACGCAGACAGCCACCAGCGAGTAGGTCATCAGCGTGGCAATGCACATGATGTCAATCCATGACTTTCAAGTCAAAGAGAAGGGCCAGGAGAGCTGTGGGGATGAGAAGCCCTTTCAGCCTCCAGGCAGAGCTGGCAGCGCTGCTGCTGGGCCCATCTCAGCTCTGCTCCCCACCCCGGGTCCCCCAACACCCGCTGCAACATGACTCAAGCACCTCAGTGATCGGTGATGCTTTGGTCACTAGTGCAAAGCATCCCACCACCTCCTGCCTGGCAGCTCAGAGAGGATGAACTGGTGCCTGGGACATCACCAAGGCCAAACGGTCTTCACCCACAGCAAGGAGACCTCCCTCTGGCTGGAGAAATATTGCTCAAACAGCTCCTGGCAAGCTAGGGGGTCTGTGTTCTCCTGCTGAAGGAGGGCATCCACCAAGCCCTGCTCCAGGTTAAGGGGTAGCCCAATTGCTCACCCACCTGCCATTCCTCCAGACACCAACGTTGCCACCACTGGGCACTGACGGCTATTAACTTTGGCCAGAGGTTTGAAGAAAAGTCCGTCTTGAGCCATTGAATACAGGATCCATGGTATGCGGAACAAGGAAGCCAGGAGGCTGCAGAGAGGGGATGAGATGGGGGAGAAGAGGGCAGGAATCCAGGAGATGCCTTGCTGCCTTTTGCTCCTCCTTGGCTGCCAAGGGAGCTCCTGTTCATCTCTATGGTCCATGACCTTCTCAAGACCATGCTGAAAAGACCATCACCTCCCTCAACATATGATGAGGGACAGTATTGGGGAAGTGACGTCCACAGGTCACTGGGAGCCCTGTGCACACCGAGACACCCCAGTCTGCTCCTGTGGTCACGGTGCCACCAAATACCCAACCACTTCTGCCAATTTTGGGCTATAAGTTGCATGCCAAGGGGATGATCTCCTTGATCGTGAGGGGCCAGGAGCAGAGCAATGGGGTTTGAGAATGGGCTGAGGGATTTTGGCTGAGCAGAGCAGTCAGAAGGAAGAGGTTGGGGATGTGTTATAGCTCCAGTGCAACCTTGCTCAGGGCCACAGAGCTGCCATTGGAGGACTCCCCTCACCTGCTTGTCAGTGCGCACAGTGACCCCGCAGCCACAGCATAGTCTGCATTGTTCCAGCCAACGTATTCAAAAGCCAGTGGAAGTGGGCTCATGGCCTCCACAAGGTAGTAGGGCATCATCAGGGTGAGGGCAGCAGACACCCCAAAGTACATGAGGAAGCAGATGAGGAGGGAGAGGATGATGCTGAGGGGGAAGGATCTCTGCGGGTCCCTCACGTCTGCCCCTGGGGAGGAAAACTCAGTTGTAAAAATGGATGTTCATTTAATATTCCATATCCCCCCATGGGAGGGGTCACAGAGGCCTTCTAGCAAGGACCACTGCAGCTCCTGGGCTCCAGGGCTATGGGGGTAGGGACTGTCTGCTCCAGGATTGTCCCAGGATTGCCACAGGGACTCTTACCGTTCCTGCTCTGAGCACAGAGGGCAGGAGAAAGCGGCTGCAGCACAGAGCCTGGAATGTGCCCATTCCCATCCCAGCCCTACACCAGCTCCCAGGGCGGAACGGAGAATCGCTTCCACAGCCCCACAGCCTGCAGGGGAAGGTCCCACCGGCATCTCTCCCCACCTCACTTACCTGTGGTAATGATTTTGCTAAATCCAATAAATGCATAGAAACAGATAGAGGCGCCAGCCAAGGTCCCAGTGAAACCATAGGGCATGAAGCCTCCCACCCCAAAGGCACTGGTCACGTCGGCCACGGACTGGTTCCTGGGAGGAGGAGGAAGAAGACTCAGGCAGTGCAGAGGGGTCAGTGCAGTGGGGTCCCAGGATGGGCCAGGCTGAACGCTCCATGCAACCTCCTCACCCCTCCAGCATCAACCCAGCAGGGCTTAGGACTTCTGCCAAAGGGGCAGGGAGAAATGGGAGAAAGCGGGATTGACTGGGATAAAGCATTCGGGGGATGACCCGGCCATCCCCATCCCCCTCTGAAGACAGCTCAGGGAGAGCAGAGCCCCTCATACCCAGTCTCGTGGGCAGCTGTCTGTGGCAGTTCATCCTCCCTGAGCTGCCAGTTGCTCAAGTCACCTTTGATGAAGCCACTCACTATGACGAAGAGCAGGACAAGCAAGTTGACAGCTGTTAAGACTTTGTTGACTGTGGCGGACTCTTTCACTCCCAAGCAAAGAATCCCTGCGGATAAAAACAGCACAACTGGCCGAGCTCCCTGGATGACACCAGCCCCAGGGTAGACATTACTGGGGAGGGTGGAAACGTGGGGACAGTGGGTACAGTTAGGAAGATCTGCAGATTTCCCCAGATTCCCCCTGTATTCCCCATTCTTTGCTCAGGGAAATGTCAAAGCCTCAGAGGGATCAGCACCATCCAGAAAAGCCCAAGCTGGGCTGAGGAGCTCATCCCACATGATGGAGGGTGGCACGGGGGGGAGGCATCCTACCTGTCAGCAGGATCACCAGGACAGCAGCAAAGACATTCTGGTATTCTGTGAGCCCCACAAAACTCGTAGATGTTTCAGCACCGAAAATCCTCCAGATCTGCCCGTTGAGGAGCTGGTCAAAGTTAGAGCTCCAGGCCAGGGCAATGCTGCTGGTACCTGGGGAGAGGTGGCAGCTGGGGCAATGATGGTGGCCCCATAGGGTCTGGGAATGACACCCAGCAAATCCAACAATGCAAAGAGAAGGTGAAGGGATCAAAAGGGCTTATACCGATGGCATAGGACAGCACCAGATTCCACCCAGAGATGAAGGCCCACAGCTCGCCCATTGTCACGTAGCTGTAGAGATAGGCGGACCTGGCCAGGGCCACGCGGGTCCCGAATTCGGCGTAGCACAGCCCGGCCAAGAGCAGACACCAAGGCTGCAATCAGGAAAGAAAGGACGATGCTTGGGCCGGAGATGCTCTTAGCCACTTGCCCTGTCATGATGTAGATGCCAGACCCCAGCGTGCTGCCCAATCCCAAGGCGACAAGGTCCACAGTGGAGAGGTGGCGGCGACGGCTGGAGCCCTCCAAGGTGGCTGGGACTCGCTTTTTGCGTGAAACAGTCTTCAAGCCAGAGAGCAGGCTGCCCCAGCACGGCATCTGCGGGAGAGGAAAGCAGCAGGCGTGAGGATGCTGCTGCCCCGTGGTCACTGCCCTGGGGATGTGACCCAAACCCAGCCTGAAGGTTTTCCTTTCAGCTCCCACCGCCCACACACTGCTTTCTGAACCCCGTGGGTGCTGTCCGTTTTCTGTCCCGGCTCAAAAAGCAGCGCATTTTGGAGCAAGATGGGGCTAAAGTGGCGGCGTTGCTCTCTCTTCCCAGCGAGAAGGGGAGCAAGGCATGACTGGGCTTTGCTGGGCTCTGTCTGATCCATGCTACAGTGAGAGGGGACAAGAGCACCTGCCTGGCCCCCTGCCAGTTCAGAAAGTCCTATTGCTCCAGCGGCATCCTCACTGACTGGAATCCCCACTGACCCAGCTGGAGACCCTGCCCACCGGTACATCCCAGCCCAGCAGCACCGAGGATCACAGGGCCACTCGGTCCCTGCTGCGGCGTGGCGCCCGCAGGGGACAAGGGACCTCCCTGCAGCAGTGCCAGCACCCTGGCCCGCAGCATGGGGTGCTGTAAGCCCTAATGACACAGGGAGCCCCAACCCCCAGGACAACTGCTGTGTCTCCTGGGGGCCAGAGAGCCACTGCCCGAGGCCAGGCCAGCTGGGGCTCTCTTCCCACCCCGCCGCTCCACAACACCGGTCCCACCCAGGGCATCTCACCCTCATGATTTTCCCTTCTTCAGCAAACAAACTACTTACTCTGGCCATCTTTTGGGCAAACTGTTCCAGCTGCAAGCCGACAGGGATGGCGAGCACCAGGCAGCCCCACTTACATTCTCCCCTTCAATCCCTTCTGGGAAGACCCTGGCTCTCCTCCTTATACCAAAGACTTAAGACATTTAGTCAGCAAACAAGGAACACGCCCCCTTTGCGTCAACTTTGTAAACACAAGATAAGAAGGTCTGTGCGAGTTGTGAATAACAGGCCCTGCTTGCACAGACAAGATAAACAAGTCTGCGTACCAAATCGCAATCCAAACCGGGAGTTGTGAACTGAGTGAAGGTCTATACTTCAAAACGACCACCAGAGACCACCAGAGACCCTTCCTCAATTCAGTATGCTTGCACGGAGGTAGTCTCATACGCATTAGATTCCCTGGAAATGGGTGGGCACTTCTCAGAATTTAGATGAATATTTATATATTTTTATGTATAGAACGAGTGTGCTTTTGTCACTTCATGTGCATGATGTTCGGAGGAGAAATCCCCTGTGCACCCAGCGCTGCAATAAACCAATGTCAGCTTTCTAAACTGTCTTTTGGTTTGGAGAGTTTTATCGCTTATGATTTTTGGTAACACCCCCACTGACCACCACTCCAGGCTGCACAAGGGGAACTCTAGGCAGAAATATTTTTTTCCACAACACCTTCCAAATCCTACACGCAAGCCTGCAGTGCCAATAGGCTCACAGGCATTATTGAGGGAGCCTAGTTAACGTTTCAAAGCTGCCTGTGCAGATGGAAGGGGGAAGCCCTTCCCTGTGTCCCTGCTCCTTCACACCAGCACCCTCATCTCAATCTGCGGAGCAGGTTTTGGAGGAAACGGCCTGGACAAGAAGCTGCTGAACCTGGAGACCGTGGTGAGTTGAAAGGAGGGGGTGACAAGCGGGCGTTCCTCTTTCCATCTCTTCTCCCCACCTGAACCCTGTCCAGAAATTGCAGCTGACGCAGAGCTCTCTTGGAGTGGGGGGGAGATGTGGATGCGTTGTCACAACGCTCCCACCAAGCCAGCATTCCCTCCAGCATGGGGTGGCGGGGGCGGGGGGGTTCAGCGGTCCTTTCCAGCTCCCTCCTCACCCTCGTTCCCCGCTTCCAGGCGGAGAGGAACCTTCTGCTGGAGGAGAAGGTGAAGATTCTGCAGCAGGAGAACGAGGACTTGCAAGTTCGCAGCCAGAACCACTTGGTGGTGGCGAGGTAAGCGCCGGTCCCACGCGCCCACCGGCTCCCCGGTGGCACCTCCCACGGGGGGAGCGGGACGCGCCTCATCCTGCGGTGCCAGCGGGTGCTGTGCGGGGAGCGGAGGGGGCCGCGGCTCCCTCAGCGGAGCCGTTTGCCCGCAGGCAGCTGTCGGAGGAGCTCCTGGCCGCCCGCGGGGACCTGGAGAAGGAGGCGCAGCTGCGGGAGCAGGCTCGCCGCGAGAAGGAGGAGCTGCTGTACCGCCTGCTCAACGGGGGGGACGGCTCCCCCTTCCCCACCGCTGCCGGCGAGGTGCCCCCCATCGCCACGTAGCACCCCGCCGACCGGCACCGAGCGCTGCCGGGGGGGCTGGCGGGGCTTTCCTCCGGGAGCGTGAGCCCGGGGCTGCTCTCACAAGGGCCCCCCGCTGCCGGGGCAGGACCCCGGGGCTGACCGAGCCCTCGGGGTGGCCCCGTCCCATCGGGGCGATGGAGCATTTCGCTGGACGCTCGCGCCTGCCTTTGCCCAGCCCTCGCGGGGCTGCACGGAGACCCCGGCCACCCTCCCCCTACTCCCCGTGCCAGCCCTGCACCCCTTCCCCTGCGGGGGGGGCTTTCTGGGGGTGAAAGGGGTCAGCCAGGACACACAGATGTGCATTGGGCTGGATCCGCCCCAGCGCTTGGCTCTGAGCATAACCAGCAGCAGTGCTGCCCGGGGGGGTCAGGCGAGGAAGATGAGGCGCTCACCGGGCTGGGGACGAGCATCGGGAGGATGAGGAGGGTGCCGGGGACATAGTGCTGTTAAGACACCTCATTCCCCGGGGGAGCATCCCTGGGAAGCGGGCGGCCAAGCCCAGGGCTGAGCCACAGAGACTTTGACGGGGTGGCAGCGACGGGCAGGAGGGACGGCTGCAGCGGGGTGTACCTGCCACCTCCGGCGCTGCCCTTGCTGTAGACCATGTCCGCCTGTGCCATTTTGGGCCTTGGCCTCCTGCTCAGGCTGCCCCAAGGCGATGACACCCACTCCTGCCATTTCCAGGGTAAGCAGGCCTTCCCCTGCCCGGGAGCTGCCTCACTCCCTGGGGAGGGGGGCTCAGGCAGGGCTCCCACCCGTGCCCTCCTCTCCCCATCTTCAGCAAGCGGCTCCCGGGGATCGTTCCGGCAGCCCAGGCGTGCCCCCCCCCCCGCTGCCACCCAGATGCCAAGCACTCCTTGTAGCCGCTGCCCATCAGCAGCACCACCAGCCCCCTCTTCTCCCCCACAGCCGGGCAGAGGCTGCACACCCCGAGGGGCACACGGGGGGAGCAGAGCATCCTCCCGAGGGGGAGAAGGCTTCAGGGGCAGCTGCCAGCAGGTCACAGCCCTCCCTGCTCCAAGCCAGCAGCAGCCCCGGCGGGGAAGATGCTGCCAGCACGGCTGCGGGTCGGGGCTGGATGCACACAGGCACTTTCCACTGGGCGCACGGGTGTGGTGGGACGGTCACTGCACTGGAGGCTGTCACTGGCCTGTCCCCTCCTTGGGGGTGTTTATCCGGGGCGGGGTGTGTGTGTGCATGTGTGTGCACCAGGCCGATGTGCCACTGGCTGTAACAACTACAAGTCTGTGAGAAGCAACAGCCTTCCTTATCGGGGAAATATCATCTAAACACGGCAGCCAGGAAGGCAACAGGGAATCGGGGTCCGGGTCTCAGCTGATGGCCTCCATGGGGTGCCCTGAGTGGGAAATGGGGGTGCCTGTTGGGTCAGACCGGTGTCCTCCCAGGGCACTCACTGCTCCGTGCATCCCCATGGCTGCAGGGATGGGTGGTGGGGCAGCCACCCGCTTTGCAAAGCCACCTCAGGGATGTGGGGGGATGCACCAGATGCTGTAGCCATGAGCGGCGGCTGAGGGACAGGGTGGGCAAGGATACAGGAGGAAGTTGAGGGGTGGCAGAAAGTGGTTTCAAAGGAAAAAAAAATAAAATACAAACAACCCACAACCCAGTAACAGCGGCAAAACCATTTGTCTGCTTTATCCTCTCCAAACAACAGTCTTTCAGCGGGGGCTTGCCACGAGGATTCACGTTGCTCAGGGAGGTTCCCCAGACTCCAGAGAGAACAGCTCCCAGACTTGTGTGAGGGCTGTGCCCCTCCGTGGGATGGGACCTTCAGCCCCGGGGGCCTCTTTGCCCCGCAGGCACAGGCTGGAGGGAGCCGGGCACTCGGGGACCAGCCTCTCTCCTTTATTGCCCTGGAGCAGACGGGCACCGCACAGTCCCTCAGTGCCCTGGGGGCACCTCGGCCGTGCTTGTTCACAGCTCCTGGTGTTCTGCCCCTTCTGGCTGGTGGTTCTCGGTGCTGTGCCGGATCCCGTAGCCAAAGTAAATCAGGAAACCTGGGAACGGGCAGAATAGGGTATGGGGGACCCTGTCTCTTCCCTCCCCTCCCAGCCGCAAAGCTCCCACTCCTTTGGGCCACACATCAGAGGACAGGGTGCTCCCGCCACCCTTTAACGTTAAAGTTCAGCATCACTTCCACCCGCCCACCACCCCTCTGCAGCCAGCAGTAATGCCCCGGGCTCTCAAACCAGCTCTGCTTCACGCAAAGAGGCTGCTGCCAGCTCTGGCACCTGGAGGGTGGCCAGGCTTACCGATGGCCATCCAGATCAGGTACCACATCCAGGCGCCCGCACGGAGCCAGGCCATCAGGACACAGTTGATGGTGATGCTGAGGAGCGGCAGGAAGGGCAGGCAGGGAACCTGAAGGGACCAAGCACAGGAAACAGGGTCGTGCCTTCACCCGCAGGCACTGGCTGGCCCACGGACCCAGGTTTCACAGCCAAATTTGGCTCTTTGCTGCTTTGGCTAGTTGCTGACAGGTGAGGAGAAGCCCAGCTTGGCTGCCTGGCTCGGAGACCTGAGCTGGCGCTGCAGTCTGTGCTGGGGAGGGATGCTCGTGGAGGATGGTTTGGTTGACCGTTCCTGCACTGGGGCAGGAGGTGCTGCAGGATTTAAGGGGGAGGAAGTAAACCACTAGCAAAACCAACCCAGGGGGTCAGGACTGGGTTTCTCTTTACCAAAGAGCAGCTCTGGTTTGTGCAGCAGGCACTGGGCTCCGCTGGGGCTGCAGGAGGTGCCCCTTTGGCCTGTGAGACACAGGGGGAAGAAGCAGGCAGCCCTCACAGTCCCTACAGAAAACCGCGTGAGCTGCCCGGTGATGCCTCCGACAGCTCGACATGGATGCAGCAAAGCTCTGCCTGACCTGAAGCAGAGGGAACACTCCCCCTGTGTAACGTAACCCTTTCCCCATGGGGCTGCAGCACTTGCCTGCCCTCCATCCCCCAGGTCCTTCCCCCTGAGGACGGTCCCCGAGGGCTGGCCTCTGTGCTCACCATGAAGGATGCTCTCTCCTGGCTCTGAGGTTGCCTCCAGATGAGCAGAGCTGCCACCACGATCCCCAGGAGAGGCAGAGCCAGAGCAGCGACGCACCAAGCACCCCCAGCCTGGAGGCAGGGCAGCCCAGCGATGCTCACACAGCTCACGGCGACGGCCAGGGCGGCTGCGGAGGGACCACGGCAGCGTGTCAGGGCAGCACTTCCCCACGCTGAGCCCGTCCCTCTCCCCGGGTGCAGCGCCCAGGCTGCCATGCTGGGAGGGACAAAGGACAACCAGGGCACCGGCCTGGGTGGCTCTTCATGGTGGGTCGAGCTTTTCTCTGCAGTCTGGGACGTGGGGGGAGCGGGAAGTGTCCCGAGGTCCCGTTGGGGCAGTCGGGAGAGGGCAGGAGGGAGCCAGGCTGCCCTGCCTGCATCCCGCTGCCGGGTGGTTTTCAGGGAGCAGGAACCTGCCAGCCCACGCTACAGCAGCAATGTCCCCACGGGTCCCCCCACACCAGCTCCCCGTAAAGCCCACCCATCGCTCCCAGGCGTACCTACGGCTGCCACAGCCCAGGCCACCACAGCGAAGGACTCTGAGGTGGGATGCACAGGCGGCCACACAACACGGTGCCACCAGATCTGCACATCCTGGTCCTGCCCTGCACCAGTGTCCTGAGTGCTGGGGGGCCGATATCTGAGGAGAAGATATTGGATGTCAAGGTCAAGGTGCACCTGCAGCGCACCAAGGCCAGTGCCTTGCCCCAGGCATGGCCAACGTCAGACGTAGGGTGAGCCCTGTCCCCAGCAGTCTCACCTGAGCAGCAGCACGCAGACAGCCACCAGCGAGTAGGTCATCAGCGTGGCAATGCACATAATGTCAATCAGGACTTTCAAGTCAAAGAGAAGGGCCAGGAGAGCTGTGGGGATGAGAAGCCCTTTCAGCCTCCAGGCAGAGCTGGCAGCGCTGCTGCTGGGCCCATCTCAGCTCTGCTCCCCACCCCGGGTCCCCCAACACCCGCTGCAACATGACTCAAGCACCTCAGTGATCGGTGATGCTTTGGTCACTAGTGCAAAGCATCCCACCACCTCCTGCCTGGCAGCTCGGAGAGGATGAACTGGTGCCTGGGACATCACCAAGGCCAAACGGTCTTCACCCACAGCAAGGAGACCTCCCTCTGGCTGGAGAAATATTGCTCAAACAGCTCCTGGCAAGCTAGGGGGTCTGTGTTCTCCTGCTGAAGGAGGGCATCCACCAAGCCCTGCTCCAGGTTAAGGGGTAGCCCAATTGCTCACCCACCTGCAATTCCTCCAGACACCAACGTTGCCACCACTGGGCACTGACGGCTATTAACTTTGGCCAGAGGTTTGAAGAAAAGTCCGTCTTGAGCCATTGAATACAGGATCCATGGTATGCGGAACAAGGAACCCAGGAGGCTGCGGAGAGGGGATGAGATGGGGGAGAAGAGGGCAGGAATCCAGGAGATGCCTTGCTGCCTTTTGCTCCTCCTTGGCTGCCAAGGGAGCTCCTGTTCATCTCTATGGTCCATGACCTTCTCAAGACCATGCTGAAAAGACCATCACCTCCCTCAACATATGATGAGGGACAGTATTGGGGAAGTGACGTCCACAGGTCACTGGGAGCCCTGTGCACACCGAGACACCCCAGTCTGCTCCTGTGGTCACGGTGCCACCAAATACCCAACCACTTCTGCCAATTTTGGGCTATAAGTTGCATGCCAAGGGGATGATCTCCTTGATCGTGAGGGGCCAGGAGGAGAGCAACGGGGTTTGAGAATGGGCTGAGGGATTTTGGCTGAGCAGAGCAGTCAGAAGGAAGGGGTTGGGGATGTGTTATAGCTCCAGTGCAACCTTGCTCGGGGCCACAGAGCTGCCATTGGAGGACTCCCCTCACCTGCTTGTCAGGGTGCACAGTGACCCCGCAGCCACAGCACACTGTGCATTGATCCAGCCAACGTATTCAAAAGCCAGTGGAAGTGGGCTCATGGCCTCCACAAGGTAGTAGGGCATCATCAGGGTGAGGGCAGCAGACACCCCAAAGTACATGAGGAAGCAGATGAGGAGGGAGAGGATGATGCTGAGGGGGAAAGATCTCTGTGGGTCCCTCACGTCTGCCCCTGGGGAGGAAAACTCAGTTGTAAAAATGGATGTTCATTCAATATTCCATATACCCCCATGGGAGGGGTCACAGAGGCCTTCTAGCAAGGACCACTGCAGCTCCTGGGCTCCAGGATTGTCCCAGGATTGCCACAGGGACTCTTACCGTTCCTGCTCTGAGCACAGAGGGCAGGAGAAAGCGGCTGCAGCACAGAGCCTGGAATGTGCCCATTCCCATCCCAGCCCTACACCAGCTCCCAGGGCGGAACGGAGAATCGCTTCCACGGCCCCACAGCCTGCAGGGGAAGGTCCCACCGGCATCTCTCCCCACCTCACTTACCTGTGGTAGTGATGTTGCTAAATCCAATAAATGCATAGAAACAGATAGAGGCGCCAGCCAAGGTCCCAGTGAAACCATAGGGCATGAAGCCTCCCACCCCAAAGGCACTGGTCACGTCGGCCACGGACTGGTTCCTGGGAGGAGGAGGAAGAAGACTCAGGCAGTGCAGAGGGGTCAGTGCAGTGGGGTCCCAGGATGGGGCCAGGCTGAACGCTCCATGCAACCTCCTCACCCCTCCGGCATCAACCCAGCAGGGCTTAGGACTTCTGCCAAAGGGGCAGGGAGAAATGGGAGAAAGCGGGATTGACTGGGATAAAGCATTCGGGGGATGACCCGGCCATCCCCATCCCCCTCTGAAGACAGCTCAGGGAGAGCAGAGCCCCTCATACCCAGTCTCGTGGGCAGCTGCCTGTGGCAGTTCATCCTCCCTGAGCTGCCAGTTGCTCAAGTCACCTTTGATGAAGCCACTCACTGTGACGAAGAGCAGGACAAGCAAGTTGACAGCTGTTAGGACTTTGTTGACTGTGGCGGACTCTTTCACTCCAAAGCAAAGAATCCCTGCGGATAAAAACAGCACAACTGGCCGAGCTCCCTGGATGACACCAGCCCCAGGGTAGACATTACTGGGGAGGGTGGAAACGTGGGGACAGTGGGTACAGTTAGGAAGATCTGCAGATTTCTCCAGATTCCCCCTGTATTCCCCACTCTTTGCTCAGGTACATGTCAAAGCCTCAGAGGGATCAGCACCATCCAGAAAAGCCCAAGCTGGGCTGAGGAGCTCATCCCACATGATGAAGGGTGGCACGGGGGGGAGGCATCCTACCTGTCAGCAGGATCACCAGGACAGCAGCAAAGACATTCAGGTATTCTGTGAGCCCCACAAAACTCGTAGATGTTTCAGCACCGAAAATCCTCCAGATCTGCCCGTTGAGGAGATGGTCAAAGTTAGCGCTCCAGACCTTTGCAACACTGCTGGTACCTGGGGAGAGGTGGCAGCTGGGGCAATGATGGTGGCCCCATAGGGTCTGGGAATGACACCCAGCAAAGCCAACAATGCAAAGAGAAGGTGAAGGGATCAAAAGGGCTTATACCGATGGCATAGGACAGCACCAGATTCCACCCAGAGATGAAGGCCCACAGCTCGCCCATTGTCACGTAGCTGTAGAGATAGGCGGACCTGGCCAGGGGCACGCGGGTCCCGAATTCGGCGTAGCACAGCCCGGCCAGAGCAGACACCAAGGCTGCAATCAGGAAAGAAAGGACGATGCTTGGGCCAGAGATGCTCTTAGCCACTTGCCCTGTCATGATGTAGATGCCAGCCCCCAGCGTGCTGCCCAATCCCAAGGCGACAAGGTCCCCAGTGGAGAGGTGGCGGCGACAGCTGGAGCCCTCCAAGGTGGCTGGGACTCGCTTTTTGCGTGAAACAGTCTTCAAGCCAGAGAGCAGGCTGCCCCAGCACGGCATCTGCGGGAGAGGAAAGCAGCAGGCGTGAGGATGCTGCTGCCCCGTGGTCACTGCCCTGGGGATGTGACCCAAACCCAGCCTGAAGGTTTTCCTTTCAGCTCCCACCGCCCACACACTGCTTTCTGAACCCCGTGGGTGCTGTCCGTTTTCTGTCCCGGCTCAAAAAGCAGCGCATTTTGGAGCAAGATGGGGCTAAAGTGGCGGCGTTGCTCTCTCTTCCCAGCGAGAAGGGGAGCAAGGCATGACTGGGCTTTGCTGGGCTCTGTCTGATCCATGCTACAGTGAGAGGGGACAAGAGCACCTGCCTGGCCCCCTGCCAGTTCAGAAAGTCCTATTGCTCCAGCGGCATCCTCACTGACTGGAATCCCCACTGACCCAGCTGGAGACCCTGCCCACCGGTACATCCCAGCCCAGCAGCACCGAGGATCACAGGGCCACTCGGTCCCTGCTGCGGCGTGGCGCCCGCAGGGGACAAGGGACCTCCCTGCAGCAGTGCCAGCACCCTGGCCCGCAGCATGGGGTGCTGTAAGCCCTAATGACACAGGGAGCCCCAACCCCCAGGACAACTGCTGTGTCTCCTGGGGGCCAGAGAGCCACTGCCCGAGGCCAGGCCAGCTGGGGCTCTCTTCCCCACCCCGCCGCTCCACAACACCGGTCCCACCCAGGGCATCTCACCCTCATGATTTTCCCTTCTTCAGCAAACAAACTACTCTGGCCATCTTTTGGGCAAACTGTTCCAGCTGCAAGCCGACAGGGATGGCGAGCACCAGGCAGCCCCACTTACATTCTCCCCTTCAATCCCTTCTGGGAAGACCCTGGCTCTCCTCCTTATACCAAAGACTTAAGACATTTAGTCAGCAAACAAGGAACACGCCCCCTTTGCGTCAACTTTGTAAACACAAGATAAGAAGGTCTGTGCGAGTTGTGAATAACAGGCCCTGCTTGCACAGACAAGATAAACAAGTCTGCGTACCAAATCGCAATCCAAACCGGGAGTTGTGAACTGAGTGAAGGTCTATACTTCAAAACGACCACCAGAGACCACCAGAGACCCTTCCTCAATTCAGTATGCTTGCACGGAGGTAGTCTCATACGCATTAGCTTCCCTGGAAATGGGTGGGCACTTCTCAGAATTTAGATGAATATTTATATATTTTTATGTATATAACGAGTGTGCTTTTGTCAATTCATGTGCATGATGTTCGGAGGAGTGATCCCCTGTGCACCCAGCGCTGCAATAAACCAATGTCAGCTTTCTAAACTGTCTTTTGGTTTGGAGAGTTTTATCGCTTATGATTTTTGGTAACACCCCCACTGACCACCACTCCAGGCTGCACAAGGGGAACTCTAGGCAGAAATATTTTTTTCCACAACACCTTCCAAATCCTACACACAAGCCTGCAGTGCCAATAGGCTCAGAGGCATTATTGAGGGAGCCTAGTTAACGTTTCAAAGCTGCCTGTGCAGATGGAAGGGGGAAGCCCTTCCCTGTGTCCCTGCTCCTTCACACCAGCACCCTCATCTCAATCTGCGGAGCAGGTTTTGGAGGAAATCCGGGAAGAGAGGAGCAGGAACACGGCTGGGTTAGGATGAAGGGGTGCACGTTTCTACAGCTGTGCCTGCACCCGGGCTGAGCTGTCCCTGGGGAACACAGAGGGAGGTGAGCAGGCCCAAGATTTAACTGCAGCAGCGGGGCACATGAGCACAGACCCAGCTCCATGGGATGTTTTCAGCCACGCATGCAGCTGTATCTCCCAGAAGCAAAGTCCTGAGGCTGCCTGTGCTTCCCCATTAGTTGTGCACCAAGAGCTGCCCAAACCTTTTCACAGCCCCACTGCACGGAGACAGCAGCCTTAGGTGAAGAAGAAATGCATGCAATCAGCCCTGCTGCAGCATCTCTGACCCATTCAGCCCAGCTCCTGCAGCTCTCAGCCCAAGCACCACCACCCCCCCCTCAGTCCGCAGGCTGCCCAGCTCCTGTCCTGGCTGGGGGGGGTTGCAAGGATGCACCAAGGCCTGGGTGCTTCTCCATGGGGACTGAGATGGGCACCAGGAATGACCCTGACACAGTGCCTTCCTCCTGGGGTGCAGCCCCCAGGGGCTCAATAGTAGAGTGCAAGCAGGGGCTGGGGTAGATCCAGGGCTGGGCTTAAATGGGGCCCAGGGCTGTGGGGGCCCCAGATGAGGCTGCTCAGGGCCAGTAAGGCAGGTAAGTGCCCTCAGGCCTCAGCATGGCTGCTCTGAGCAGGGGGAGAGATGGTGTGTCCTGGCAGGCCTTCAGCTCCTTGGGAGAAGAGGACCAAGGCAGAGAGCTGGTGTTTTGGGGTGTGGAACTAACTTTGTTTTTACTGTAGGTAGTGTTCAGGTTGAGTCTTCTTACAGTATTTGGGGACAGAAATCTCTTTGGGTGTGATGCAGTTCAGCACCTCCTCTAGCTGTCAGGTTGGAAGGGGACATCAGCCATGCAGAAACAAAGCAGTGATGGGTTGAGAGCCCCTAAAGCAGAGGTGTTTGCTCTAAGCACAAGGCTGCTGTGTCCTGGCTGTATGGGGCAGCCCCATGTCCCCAGTGCACCCTGTGAGCTGCTGGGCTAGCACCTCTGGGGCAGGGGGGCTCAGCACCCCGTGCCAGCAGCACCGAGAGGAGAGCAGGGCTGTTGTTCTGCATTGCAGCACAGGGTGAACAAAGCTGTGCTTGTCACCCACGCCATCTCATATGAGCGAGGTCTCCAGACACCACCGCCAGCCCTGGGGAACATTGCCCTGAGGGAACAAGAGGGCACCAAGGAGCAGCTGGTGCTAGCTGGCCACGAGGGCCTCCCCCTCCCAGGATGTCTTCAGTCCCCAGGGGTGGGGGCACAGTCCTGTGGCTGCATGCCAGCCAGCAGGCATGTCACACCCAGCCTGGGGTCCCTGCTGCCCAAGACCACTGTCTCCCAGGACAGGCAGGGCTGAGCAGCCCCAGAGGGATGCTCTAGCCAGTGGCTCCCACCAGGACTTAGATGCCTGACAGGTTACATGCTCAGCATCTCGAGGGGGCTCATAATTTTATCTGCTCCTGCTGGTATCAGCCAGAGCACAGACATCACTGCCCAGGGCTCCTGGGGAGCCCCGACAGCTCCTCCAGCCCTTCTGCAGCTTCTCTCCTGCAGGGTAAAGGGTGGTGGTAAAGGAGGAGCGGGGTTAACCTGGATGAGGCAGGGGAGGAAACAGCCTTGGGGTGCTCCAGGCAGCTACAGCCTGCCAGGACCATCATGGAGAGACTCGGCTCCTGTCCCAGGGTTGCTCCTTGAAGAGCCCTGGTCAGCATCTTCCCCATTAAGCAGGTCCTGGGGGGCCAGCCCCGCCCCCCAGTTGGCTTTTGCAGAGAGAGTCGGGGATGGACATTTCCCCACTGTGACCAGGGAAGGGGGTGATTTGGTGGAGGTGGAGGTGGCTGGGGGCAGGACCAGCGTGGGAGGCAGCGGGTTACCCTGAACCCCAGCGCTTACCAGGAAACCAAAGCAGGGGGAGGGAGGGGAAGGAAGGGGGTGAAATTTCTGCAATCAGAGTGCAATCACTGTTATTGCCTTGCACTGCGCCCATCCCCGCTGCCCGCACGCAGCCCCTGCACATACCAGCGGGGCTTCTCTGCCGAGTGACCCCCTTCCCCACACCCTGGCTGAGGTCGGGTGCTTCTGCGGGCGGCATCGGGTCCCCCTGCACTGCGGGCACCCAAACCCAAGGGGCTGAGATCTGGCACGGTGGCGAGGGTGGTAGTGCGGCTGTGACCCCGGTGCCATGGCAGGCGGGGACTGGAGGGCTCATGAGCGGTGACGTCTCGCCGGGAGGAAACAGCTGCTGGCCAAGGACGAGCTGACGGCCACAAGCAGACAGCGAGCGCGCCGGCGGCCGGCTGTTCCCGCGAGCACACCCGGACGGGCCTCGGTGCCGCTCGTAAGTGTGTGCTGGTGCGAGGGGGGGGACCATAGTGGTGCGAGGGGGGGACCATAGTGGTGTGCAGCTCTACCGCAGTGACGTGCGAGCGGGTGAAAGCTGTGGCTGGGCGGTGAGCTGTGCAAGCAGAGGGTCCTTCCAAGGGGTGGCTGCAGGGGGGATCCTTGTTTTCCTTTTTTCCTTTTTATGAAAAATCCTTCCTTTTTAACAAAAGCCGGGGGGGGGGGGCTGCACTGCCGGTGGGTGGTTTTCTGGGTGGGCGCTGGCGTTGCTGCAGGGCCCATGGGTGTGTCCTGGCCAGGATATGTCTTTGTCTGTGCTCTGGGACTGCGGTGGCTGCAGAAATGCTCATCACCCCGAGCAGGGGTCCGAGGTGGGCTCAATGGGGAGCATCCCCCCTGGTTTGGTACCCGCTGAGTTTTGCACAGGCAAACACGCCGTACGACACCCCAGAGGCACGGAGCTCTAGAAGGGCAAGGGGACTTTTTGGCGCTGGGGTGTGGCAGGGGACTTCGGGGACATCCTTTGCCTCGCAGGGAGGACGGATGCTGCTTTTTTTTAACCCAGCGAAGCTCCCTGCGGGCAGGACGATCGGTGGCAGGCCACTGGGTGTGTCACGGCCTCTGTTCAGTGCAGCCATGCCAGGAGAGCCCTGCCAGGCAGCAGGCTGCAAAAATAGCTGCAGGGCTCCTGGAGTGAAAGCCCTGAGCGCAAAGCCATGGTGGGGCCGTGGAGAGGCTGGCGGGGTGCACGCTGCTGAGGGGAAAGGTTTTTTGGCAAGGGTGGGTGGTTCTGCAAAGGGGATGGGCTGTGTACATCATTTAGAATTTCTCATGGCACTTTCTGTCCAGGAATCCCCATAAGTCAAACCTCTCCATTTTTTATTTTTTTTTTTTTGGAGGGAGGGGGGACGGACAGGATGGGACAACAGGTATACCACCATGCCAGGGCTCTGCAGCCTCCAGGTTTCCCCCCCTGCCCCATGGACTCAGTCTGTCTGGGCATCCTCCCCGGATTGCCCACTGGCAAGGCAAGAGCTGGGGCTGCTCCCCCAGCCTCTGCGGAGGTGCCAGCAGCGGTGGGAGACAGGGACGGGGCACTGCAGGGACCGGCTGGGGACTGGGTGTGGCCGGCAATTCTCCAACACTGCTGTGATGAGTTGGGTGGTCTCAGCCCAGCTGCCTCATGCATGGAGCAAGGCAGGAGGGCTGTGCCACGCAGGGCTTTCTCCATTCCCTGGAGGGTACACGGCGTCACATACAAGCTCCTGAGTGGCATTAAAAGACTGCGTGGGCCAGGGGATCCCCTTGCACCCACCCAGCACCCGGCCACAGTGCAGCTCTGCCGCATGCGGGGGCTCTCCCCCAGCCAGAAGCTGCAGGAAAGGGTGGCCGAGGCTTGCAGCCCCCCCCAGCTGAAAAGGGAAGGGCAAGCAAAGGCACATGAGGTTTTCTGCAAAACTTCCTCCCCTCAGCAGGGATGCCTGCGGGTGCTAGAAGTCTTCCTGCACCCAAGAGGGGTGACCCAGCCGCACAGACGGCTGCGGGGCTGGATCTCCCCCTCCACGGGTGCTCTTGTAGGGATGTAGGGCCAAGCCAGGGAGGTTCATGCCGTTTCCCTTGCTCGCTCCACAGCCTGAAACCAAGCTCGGCTGGGGGCAGAAACCCCCCCAGGGCGGCCCTGCTGTGCCTTGAGCTTTCCTGCAACGTGTCTCGGAGGGAGGGCGAGCGCTGGCAAGGAGGCGGCCGTGCCTCAGGGCTGGAGCTCAGCTGACGCTCAGTGGTTCATTCATGGCCAGACTCCATTTTCCAGCTGTTTCTCTCCCTCCGTCAGCTTTCTCAGAGCAAACTGCGCTGTCTGGGGACTTTCTCTGGGGGGGTGGGGAGAGCCCACACCGCAGCGAGTTGCAGCTATAAATGGTGCTGGTGTTAGAAAACAACCTGAGAGTTACCCTGGAAACCCGGCTGTGTTTCCTGGGCTTGCGTGGGACTGATGGCGGCCTTGATTCGACGCACAGAAACTCAGATAAAAGCTGGTAGGATCATGGCTGGGGACTGCCCAGCCCCAGTGCCGTGCTACAACAGGGCATCCCCAGCAGCCGCTGAAACTGGGATGGTGCCAGGGCTTGGGGGGGGCTGCAGGGGGACCAGAGGGAGCATTGTGGGG